AAACGTGGACACAGGGAGGGGAGCATCACATACTGGGGCCTGTCAGGTGCTGGGGGAGCTAGGGGAGGGATAGCATTAGGAGAAACACCTAATGCAAATGATGGGTTGATGGGTGCAGCAAACAACCGTGGCACGTGTATACCCATGTAACAAACCTGCACATTCTGCACATGTATCCCAGAACTTAAAGTATAATAAAAATGTATATGTCATCCTTGGGAGAAACAAAATCATTTTAAAACGTGACCTCAGCCCCTGAAATAACAAAAACACCCTCAAATCTCTGGATGAATTCATTTGGAATTCTCCTTAAACAAAAATAAAATCTGCATTTTTTTCTGATTCCAAAAACAATATAAGATATTCATATAACATTGCAAGATCTCAAGTATGATATGACTCTCATCATCACCCATCTCAGATAAATAAATGCACTGTTAGGTGTTTGGTTTTCCTTAGATCTCCTTAATCTCAATTGTGAGGCAGGAAGCATTTTTAATGAGTCTGTGTTCTAAGAGTTGTGCTCATTGTCAAATCCACTACAGGTGACCATAGTTTTATCACTTAATTAGGCCTCTCCATTCGGCTTTGATACCTGAAAAATAACTGGTTTGAAATTACGGAGGAAAAAACCAGGCCAAGGTATTAATTGAGGTTGCAGGCTTCAATGAAGAGATGGCTTTTTCTCTCCAATGAGAGGGTAAATTAATTAGCAGGATAAAACTTCAACACTGTTTTAATTGATCAGAACTTTCCAGTGCCCCTCCCTGAGCAATAATGTGGATACACATTAAACTTTTGGGTACACAAGCATAAGAAAAAGAGAAAAATGAGATAAGATGAGCAGTGAGGTGTCCTGGTGTTGCCCATTTAGAGGCAACAATGAGAGTAGATGCATTGGCTTCCAGTTACATGCCCTGATGTTCTCCCTTTTTCCCTGAGAAGCAGCAGCAGCTTAATAAGAGATTTGCCAAAGTGTTTGTTATTTTGCAGCCTGACAGGGAGGCACTTTCAAAAGGTTTGCTTTCTTCTTTTGGAAGAAATGTAGAGAATCTCGCTAGATGCTCAATGTATTCGTTTTTTATTGCTTCCATAACAAATAACTGCTAACGGAGTGGCTTATATAACACAAATGCATTATCTTAAAGTTTTTAAAGTCAGATGTGCAACATGGATCTCACTGGGCTAGAATCAAGGTGTTGTCAGGGCTATGTTCTTTTCTGGTAGCTCTAGGGGGACATCTGTTTCTCTCTCATTTGGTTTTTGACAGAATTCAGTTCCTTTTGATTGTGGGAACAAGATTCCTTGTGACCTGTCAGCTGAGAGCCATCCCCAGCTTCTAGAGGCCCTCTGTCTTCCTTGACTTGTGGCCTCCCTTCTCCATATTCAAAGCCAGCAATGACAGAGTGAGTTCCCCTCATGCTTTGACTCTCTTCTCCTTCTTCCAGCCTCTCTCTCTCTCCCCAACTGGGAAAGGTTCTCCACTTTTGAGGACTTATGTGATTAAAGTGGGCTCACGTGGATAATCCAGGATATTTTTTCCCTATCTCAAGTTCTGTAACCTTAATCACATGCCAAGTCCCTTTTGCCATGCATGTGAGGTGACACATTCACGAGTACCAGGGGTGAAGGCATGGACACCTTTGCGAGACCTTTTCCTACAACAGCAGTGGGAAAGGAGTGGCACTATCACAGTCTGGGTCTCGTAGTTTGGGAGCCAAGTGAGCACTTCAAGCTGCAGAAAAGCCTTGAGTGGGGGAAGGAAAGAGGATGGTTCTGTTCTTTCCTTTTTACTGCTCTCCCTCCCCTGCCTTCACCACCTAGATGTCAGGATCCAAGCCGTGGGCTGAGGAAAGTCAAGAAGGCATAGCAGTCCTTCCTAACTGGGCTGCGGAGTATCTGAGTGCATACCAGTGCATTCAATGCTTAAAGAAGCCTTTCGTGGTTTCTTCAGCGTTCCCTACAGGGTATTTCTCTCCTACGGCTCTCAAGCAGAGGAGGTGCATCTCTATCCAGATGGCAAATGCACACTGAGAAGAAATGCAGGAAGTCAGCCTGAAGGGCTCAAGTACATGGCAATAGGTGGAGTTGCCATTGAGGACTCAATCATATGAAATGGGGCTGTGTAAAGAGTGGGAGACAGCAATGGGAGGGCTGTGGATCAGGACTGGGAAGAGGCTCAACTATCCAATGGGTTCTAACACAAGGTCTTAATCTTATGGGGGGGCTTCCCCAGGAGCAGACACTGAGAGGAAAATTCCAGTTTACCTGGATGTTTCCTGCAACACCAGCAGGGAAGTGGGGATGTTATATAAGGAAAGGAGGCAGCCTATAAGGCATGCGTTGTTACAACAACTAAGTGGTGGACAACTGAAACTTCTTCCCATGGGACAGCCAGGAAAAGCAGTGTGGAACACACTGCAGAGCTAGCTAACCTGAGGGGCGAGGGAGCTGGGGAACTCACACACCGTCTGCCGTCACTCACTGGCTGAGTTTCCTCCTGGGGAATGTTTAATGCTCCAACACTTCTGGCTTGTGTGGGCACAGCATCCTTGTTAAAAAGTCCCCTATCACAGAGTTGCAGGGAAGGCATCTAAAGTTATCAGCTGCACACTGGCATAGTAGCATTCTAGACAAACAAATGATGCATCCAGGCCTGAGGTGAAATGAAAGGGAAGAGTAAGAGAAAAGTATGCATGCTGTTGTTGTGCCCTTTGAGGAACAGAATATATCCCACCATCTGGATAGGCATAAATCTAGAATGGAAAAGAGGGTTTCAACTAGAAAGATATCAGGTTCAATACGCCAAGAATATCATAGTGACTGGGGAGCCATGACTAGTATGCAAAACAATAGCAGTAGAAACCAATGTGTACCAAAAGCTCTTTTACATGACAAAAGAATGAGAGCAAGAGCTGTAGGGAATGGGCAGGGCAGAGGTGAGCAAGCCTTTATGGAGAAAGACTGGCTGAGACCGTGTCTTCGAAGATGGATCAGAGCTAGCAGAACATTTTGCATCATTTGTTTTGGTAACCTCTTTCTGCTGTGACATTTAATTAAAGCCAGAGGGAAAGTGACAGGGAAAATAACCGTGTCCACTGCATGAGGGGAAGGGATATCTCCCAAGGTGCATTCTGGGCACAGCCATGGGGCTGTCCTGGAGCACAAGATGAATGCTGTTTGCTGTATGCTGAGATTGTCTCAGAAGAAAAGATCCCACAGTGGTATTTCAGGGCTGAAATGGTTTTCTCAGCTCCTTTTTCCTAATTTGCTGGAGACTAGTCCAGAGAAAGTAATTAGAGTTGCTTTGGTAATGTGTTTGCTTTACCACTTTCAATTAAGGACAAGAATAGAGTGAGAGAAAGAGACAGAGAGTGCACAACAGTGGAAGTACTTTTTAATGCTCCCACCAGTCCTCCATGCAAACTTGCACAATGTTTTCTTGGTTATTTTAAACTAATGAATCCCCAAGTTGTTTTATTTTAAGCAGCTTTGTTAAGGTGTAATTAACATACAATAAGTTGCATATACTTAAACTATGCAATTTTGATGAGTTTTGACTATACATACAAGATGAAACCACTACTGCAATCAAGATAGTGAATATACCCACGATCCTAAAAGGTTCTTTGTGTTTTTTGAAAACCCATCCTCCAGCCCCTCCTGCCCCTACAGGCACTCTGAAACAGACAACCACCTGCTTTCTGTCACTATAGGTTAGTTTACCTTGGTAGAATTTTATGTAAATACAGCCATGCAGAATGTACTCTTTTTTGTATGGAATTATCTTGAGATTCATCTGTGGTTTTTTATGTGTCAATGGTTTATTACTTTTCATTGCTGAGTGGTCTTAAGTTTTCAAGATTATAAAATCAAACATTTCTTTAATTTTGAGACATGGTCATTGTACCATTTTCTTAAGGCTGCCTTAATGAATTACCACAAGCTTTAAAGAATGGAAATTTGTTTAAATTTCTGGTGGCTTTAAACAACGGAAATTTATTGTCTTGCATTTCTGGAGGCTAGAATTCAAAACCAGGATGTCAGCGCATTCCCTTGGAAGGCTCAGGTAAAACTGTGCCCTTCTCTGAGCTTCTGGTATTGCTGGCAGTCCTGGGTATTCCTTGGCATGCAGGCACATCACTCTCATTTCTGCCTGTACTGTTCATGATGTTCTCCCCTGACTGTCTCTGTCTCTCTGTCTCTTCTCCTCTTCTTAAAAAGATACCAGTCATAATGGATTAAGGGCCCAATTTATTCCATTATGACCGTATCTGAATTAATTACATCTGCAATGGTTCTATTTCCAAATAAGTTCATATTCTGTGATTTCTGAAAGGACTTGAATTTGTTGGGGACAGCATCCAACCCCGGACAGTCATCCTACTTCATGAAATGTTATATGGCTCTGTTGAATTAAGTTAGGAAAAGAGTGAATAGTTTTTTTTTTTAAGAATTCTTGACCTACCTTGAGATCGCGTGAACTAGGAATCACATTTCCCAAAGTGTATTCCAAATAATTACACATAAAGTCATATTCTCTAAAAGCAGGATAGTGTGGTCAAATAAGTTTGACGAAGGTTGGTTTTTTTTTAAGTGTCTTTATTGAAGGCTTGTCAAATCTTTAACATGTATGACTAGAATAAACTTGGCTCTTTTCATTGTGTTTCTCAGCACAGCATTGCTTTCAGAAGAGTTACAAAGGAATTGAAAAGCAATTTAAATTTTTATTGCAGAACTCTTTAAGAAACACCAGAGTGAAAATACACTACATTATATACAGTAAAAATGCCCCCAAGATCCTTATCCATTCCCACAAAGCCAACTGGTCACCTTGCAGGAGCTGCCCCCAAATTATAGAGTCATCTGCTTAAAAACCTTCCCAAACCTTTCTTCCAAAACATCATCTGAGGTAACCTTGTCTCTCCTGTCCCCTCCTCCCCTCCCACCTTTCAAAATTCATTTTTTAATAGAAAAATGGAAAGGTGTCTGCCCTTTCTAACTTAGAAAAAAATCAGCTTTTAGGAACTCTCTGGTTTTCCTTCCTAATCAAACACACTTAAAACTGTCTTCGAATGGACAAAAGGAGGGATGGTAGAAGGTTTTCAATGATGAGAAAATCTGCTGAACTAAGTGGTGCAGGTTGAACCAAGGAGGAAGTTATGAAGGGAGGACAATGGCAGACATGCCAGGAAGATGGTACCACTATTTGTTCCAAGCTCAAACCTCAAAGCTTTCTGCAGAATTCCTGAACAAAGAAACTTGTTATCTTTGATACCGTTGGTTGACCTACTCAAACACAGACTGTCAGGTGGACCTCTCTCTGCTCACTTCCAGATCATCAGCTTAGGCAAAAATTGTACAAACAAGATTCACTATTTCCAGACTACCAACAGTTTTATTTTTCTCCTCTCTGTCTTATGACTCCCGTTTTTGCCTTTGTTTCCTGGCTCATTCTACTAACTGACTCCTCATGTGAGTAAATAATATGACTGCAACATCAACCAATAAGCATGCTGCAAAATAACTACGAACGTCTCCGAATTTTTCTTTGATAAAAAATTTTTGTTTTTGTCTCTGTCACATAAATGATTCTTCACAAGGAATATCCAAGTGGGGTATACCGTGTATGCTAGCTTTTTTGGAAGCTCTGCACTTGCCTTTAAGAGGCTTTTCAATGACGAGGCTTTTCAATGACAATGCTTCAAATGCTTATGCACACACATTCAATTTGCCAGTGTTCTTACCAGCCAGGTCTGTGGACCCCAATGTTTCCAGCTGGAAGCCACTGAAAGGTAGGCAAGCAGCCCATTGAACAACTATCAAACACAGGATATACTCAAAGCACAATGTAATTTTTTCCTAACATCTTCCCTTTAATAGAAATTCTCTACTCCTGAGTGAAATCTTAGATAGGTCCAATGAATTAGGCTAGACAGTATCATGGTCACTTTAGCACATAAAGCCTCAACTTGAAAGTTAGAATGACTAGTTCTCTATAGTAATGAAATGTTTGGGCAAAAGTTAATGCCCCCTCTCCCATTCTCCAGCTAGGCCCACTGTGGCCTGTCAATTTCAGGCGGTGGAGGCAGGGGTGATTCTACTTCATTCTTTCCCTACAATGTTCCCTCCTCCTGCAGTGGCTGACTGCAGGGAAGAGCATGGGCTGTGGAAAAGCCACATTCTGACACACTAGGTCTGTTCTTCACCTTATGACACGGCTCTCTGGTATCAGGTAAGTAGTTGCCAACACTTTCTCTTAGGAATGCACTTGTGGGCTCTTCCAGATGCTGGCCTCATAATGTAGACTATGGTTCTTCTTTGGCTGGTCACAGTGTGTCCAGCTCATGGTCAGATGCTCACTGTTGGGAGTCTCTTCACCCCTTTGAGGGAGTCCCCTTGCCAAGGGTCTGAAATAGCTCCAGGGGCACTCTCTTTCTTCCAGAGTCAGTGGCTGGTCCACGGGAGACACTCATACACGCTGTGACCCATGGTGGACAGGGAACACGCTCATTTCCCATATGCAAAAGCCACCCACAGACAACCACAAAAAGGTATCAGCAGCCCTTCCCTGACCTCCGAATTTCTTGGGTTAGGAGACAGATTACCATCTCCTGGGTCTCCAAAGTTTTAGGGGCTGCATATCAAGTTCTGAGTGGCCCCATTTACTCATTTAAAAAAATCACCTTTCTACATCTCACTCTCTTGAACCTCTAGATGAGGTGCTCAAAACTTTTGAAGCTGATTTGTCTTTGTAAATGCTGCATGTGATGAGCTGGTGCCTCACTTTGGAATTTCATTTCTATTATATCTTGGTTCCCATTCGAAATTTTAAGATCCTGTTAGAATAAGACATGTGTTAAAGGGCAAAAATGCTAGCACACCCTTTCTCTAATAAAGACTGCCAGAAATTGGACAGGCCTAGCACTGTATGATCTTTCTCTTTAATGCTGTACTGACCTGATTTTCTGTGTATATATTATATGGGAAAAAAAAGAAGGCCCATGCAAATGCGAAAACAAAAAACCATCATGACTCAGCAAAAATAAAAGTAGCAAAGTTAAATTTCAAGTGCCTCTTTGAAGTTTTAAACAGTGCATTCCAAATTCCAAAAGAATTTTTGAGATGAAACATTTTTAAATAATTAATTTTAAAAACTGCTTTAAGAAACAATCCAGATGTTCAAAATACAAGTGGCTTATTAAACACATAAATGTAGTTTATATTTTGGATAACTTGACAGTAATTACAAATAATCTTCTAGATCTAAATTTGTTTTCTCTTTTATTCATATATAATAACTCTACATATTTATGCATTACATGTGTTTACTACATGCATAGAATGTGTATTATCAAGTCATCACCTTGAGTATTTATCACTTTTATGTGTTAGTATAATTTTAAGTCATCTCTTCTAACTACTTTGAAATGTACATAATATTGTTGCAAAGTATAGTCATTCTAATCGGTATGAAACATTAGAACTTATTTCTTCTATCTAGCTGTATGTTTCTACCCATAACCAACCTCTCTTTATCTCCTCTCCCACTCAGCCCCTCTTCCCAGTCTCTGATATCTATCACTCTATTCTCTATGTTCATAAGTTTTAAGTGCTCCCTGGAATAGCTCCAGGGACACTCTCTTTTTTCCAAGGTCAATGGATGGTCCACGGAAGACACTCATACACTCTGTGACCCATGGCAGGCAGAAAACACACTCACATCCCATATACAAAAGCCACTCACAGACAACCACCAAAGGTTCTCCGCAGCCCTTCAAGATCTCTACATGAGTGAGAACATGCAGTATTTATCTTTGTGTTGCTGGCTTATCTCACTTAATATAATGGCCTCTAGTTCTATCTATGTTGTTGCAAATGATATTATTTCATTCTTTTTAATGGCCACATAGCATTCCATTGTGTATATATACCACATTTTTTAATCTATTCATCCATTGATGGACACTTAGGTTGACTCCATAACTTTGCTATTGCAAATCATCCCATGATAAACATGTGAATGCCAGTATCCTTTTGACAGGTTGATTCTTTTTTCCTTTGGAAAAATACCCAGTAGTGAGATTGATGGACTGTATGATAGTTGTATTTTTAGTTTTAGAGAAATCTCCATACTGTTTTCCATATTGGTTATCTTAATTTATATTCCATCCAACCATGTATAAGAACTCCCTTTTCTCCGCATCCTCACCAGAATCTGTTATTTTTTTCTTTTTAATAATAGCCACTCTAATTAGGCTGAAATAATATGTCCTTGTGCTTTTGATTTGCATTTCCCTGATGGTTAGTGATGTTGAGGATTTTTTCATAAACCTGTTGGCCATGTGTATGTGGTCTTTTGAGAAATGTCTATTCATGTCCTGTGCCCATGTCTTAATGACTTTTTTTCACTCTTTAGTTGTTGAGTTCCTTGTATTTTTTGGATATCAGTCCCCTGTCTGATGAGTAATTTGAAAATATTTTCTCCCATTCAATAGGTTGTTTCTTCACTCTGTTAATTATTTCTTTTGCTGTGCAGAAGGTTTCTGGTTTAATATAGTTCCATTTGTCTATTTTTATTTTTGTTTTCTGTGCTTTTGGAGTCTTATCTATAAAATCTTTGCCTAGAGTGATTTTTGAAGTTTTTCCTATGTTTTCTTCTAGTAGTTTTCTAGTTTGGGGTCTTACATTTAAGTCTTTAGTCCATCTTGAGTTGATTTTTGTGTATGAGGAGACATAGGGACCCAGTTTCATTCTTCCGCATATGATTATCCAGTTTGCCCAGCACCACTTATTTAAGAGGGTATCCATTTCCCAGTTTATATTCTTGGCAGCTTTGGCAAATATCAGTTGGCTGTAAATACACGGATGTATTTATATGTTCTCTATTCTATTCCATTGGCCTACATATCTATTTTTATAGATATGGTCGTGGTTACTACAGCCTGGTAATATGTTTTGAAATCAGACAGTGTAATCCTTCCAGCTTTGTTCTTTTTGCTCCAGAGAGCTTCTGTTATTTGAGCTCTTTTTTGGTACATGCCAATTTTAGGATTTTTTTTTTCTATTTCTGTGAAAAATGATGTTGATATTTTGATAGGAATTACACTGAATCTGTAGATTGCTTTGAGCAGTGTGGTCATTTTGACTAGACAAATTCTTCCAATCCATGAGCATAAGATGTCTTTCCATGTGTTTGTGTTGTAGGTTTTTTAATAGAGATCTTTTACTTCCTTGGTTAAATTTATTCCTAGGTATTTTATTTTTCGTGTGGCTGTTGTAAGTGGGATTGTCGTCTTGATTTCTTTTTTTTTTTTTTTTTTGGCTGTTTCATCCTCATTGGTGTATAGAAAAGCTACTGACTTTTATAAATTGATTTTGTATCCTGCAACTTCACTGAATTTTTTTTTATCGGCTCTGGAAGGTTTTTGGTGAAGTCTTTTGATTTTTCTGGGTATAAGATCATGCCATCTACAAAAAGAGACAATTTGATTTCTGTTCCAATTTGGATGCCACTTTTTTTTTTCTTGCCTGATTTCTCTGGCTAGGATTTCCAGTACTGTGCCGAACCGAAGTGGTGAAAGTGGGCGTCCTTATCTTGTTCTAGTTCTTGGAGCAAAGGCTTTCAACTTTTCCCAACTCAGTATGATGTTAGCTATGAGTTTGTCATATGTGGTCTTTATTATTTTGAAGTATGGTCATTTTATGCCTAGTTTGTTGAGAGCTGTTATAAAGGGTGGTGATGATCATATGGTTTTTGTCCTTCATTCCGTTGGTGTGATGTATCATGTTTATTGATTTGTATATGCTGAACCACTCTTGCATCCCTGAGATAAATCCCACTTGATCACAGTGTATTAGCTCTTTGATGTGCTGTTGGATTCAGTTTGCTAGAATTTTGCTGAGGATTTTTGGATCTATGTTCATCAGGAATATTGACCTGTACTTTTTGTTATTTTTGTTGTGTCCTTATCTGGTTCTGGTATCAGGGTAATGCTGGCCTCATAGAATGAGTTGGAGAGAATTCTCTCCAATTATTAAGAAATTTTGGTTGTGCTATACAGTTAAAAATAAAAATTAGCCAAACATTTTTATGGCATGCATTTTAGTAAGTGTATTTGTGTCCTCATACAGAAGTCTGAAACAATTAACACCTATATATTAAGAAGAGTCATTTCTGAGTGGTAGAATTGTAGGAAATATTCAGTTTTTACTTAATTTAGTTTTAGTTTACATTTTTCTGCATTAGCTGATTTTTTAATTGAATATTTTTATCTCTTATAGTAAGAAGAAAAATTAAAAAGATGTTTTAATTGAAATAAAATATATTTCCTTCAAAAATGTGCAGTCTTTCAATAAACATGGTTGTGCTTGAGTTTACTGTTACAAAATGCAGTCAGAATTTTTCATATTAACCATAATTTTGTTTCAATTCTGAATAGGGTGGTTTTGCATGTGAATATGTCTTTAACAATTTCTTAAAATATTGATGAGCCAAGCCACTTGTAAATAAGTCTATTTATAGTCTCATAATTTAATACATATTTCTTTGATTCAGTGGTTGTAAACCAACTGTATGCAAAAAAAAAACTATGAAATTTAAATTTGCAAACATTTTCCCAATCACACAATAGAAAAGTAGCCTTAAGAATTGGGCAGCTTAAGTTCCAGTTAAATAGATTGCTTATCAATATTAGATATATGCATTGTGTCTGTTTTCAATAATATATACAGATTTCTATTCTGCAAGCTTATTTAAATACATATATTCTATATTCATTATAATATTACTATATGCTTCACTTATGTCAATTCTTCCTAGGCCCCATAGGAGGAAATTTATCTGCTAATGTTACACATTGAAGAGAGAGGAGAGAGACACAGCAGGGCTTAATATGTGCAATACATTCTTAATCAGTCTTCCTTGGGAATCATAGAGCTTATGGATGTAGAGTAAATGTGCAGCAAGAATGATCTGGTATACCATTATCTTTTAATTGGAGTTTCTATTTCTGTCACTGTTTCATTTGCTCACCATAATAGCTTAAACCGTAGCAATTGGCAGAAGCAACATTGTTGGTTTGGACTGTAGACAACAGGACACATGCAAGTCTTTTATTTCCAAAGAGGCTTGGAGAGGAATTTTGGATTTTGCATAGATTTTGCTTGGGGAACAAATTAAATCTGAAAATAGCTAACTGCATTTAAACCAGATTCCTGAGAAGTCTTTGCATCCAAGCAATACCTGATGAGTCCTTCCCAACTCCTTTTCTTATTTCTTTCATTTCTAGCCGAAGGTTAATTTTTTACAAGTTTAAAGATGTATTTTCCTGCAAATGTTATATAAGAAGACTGAAAAATTGAAGGCTTTGTGTTTGTTGAGAGTTAATGACCCAACATATCAATCCATTCATACATAAAATGTGAGCAGACAACTTTGTCTTTGCATAATAGATGGTGAAATTTCTGATAGTACTTGTCTTTGTTTGGAGGCAGTTCACAAATGGAAATGGGAAATGCTGAGCCTGGCTAGCCTAGACAATTACATTTCTATTTTCTAAGTTGCCTGTCTCTTTTTGCTCCTAAGAGTTAAGTCCTATCTTTATAAAGTGCAATGGTGTTTGTTCCCAAACCTGTTTATACCACTTTCCAAATTCTGAAATTATGCACTCTTTAAATGTCATGTGAAGGCATTGAAATATAAGTGCAAAGTGGTTTCTTCTTTATAAAACTTAGTTGAATACTTTGTATAATTCCAATAAAGGTGAATAACTTAAAATTTGCTATGAATTAATTTACACTCCACCAAGAGTGTAAAAGTGTTCCTATTTCTCCACGT